CCTTCTGCTTCAGGATTTCAATATGAAAGAACATATTGAGAGGAAGGACATCAGCCTTTCTATGGTAAAGAAAATCTTCAGTCCTGAAAGCGGAGGAAAATGTTGGGTTCTTTCATCTTGAATAAGAAATTCCGTAAAAATAAGTTCTTTTATGAAGAATAAACCTTCAGAACTTCTATGGAAAGAAAAACTTCAGCTTTTCTACGATATCTCCTTTTGCAATATAATAACTCTGCTCTTTCATGAAAATTCAGTTTGTTTTTCTCTGAGTCTTTAAAGGATTTTGTTTTTTTTGTTTTTACATACGGCACACTCAGCCAACTAAAGTCAGGATATTAATATATCGCAGGAACATCAGAAAATTCGAGAACTTCTGGCCCATAGAAAAACTGAACGCATTTTTCGCCATAGAAAAGATGATGGAAGATCTTGTTGTTCAAAGAAAAACTGAAGGTCATATTGTCTATAGACGATTTTAAGGTCCTCTTTCTCAGAGAAGAGCTAAAGGGTTTATTTCTCATAGAAGTACTGAAGGTCTTTTTTCCGATAGAGGAGATAAAAGTTTGGAGATGTCATTGAATGAGAAGTCTGAGAAGTCAGAAGGGGGAGGAAGAGAAAGGGAAAATATTACTTATAAATAATTTTTCAAAGGCTCATCCACGGCGTAGATGGGAAGAGTTAAAGTCATTAATAAAAATAACTCTGAGCTTCCGTAAGGAAATTTTTTTGTTTTATATATAGCGCACTCTTAGTGTTCTATATAAAGGTTTGATCCTCTATTAGAGGAGAAGCTGGTCTTCTTCTTCTCCATAGTAGTTCTGAAGGTCTTCTTCTGCAATGAAGAGCTGAAGATCTTCTTCCCCATAGAAGTGCCAAAAGTCACCTTTGCGTAGAAGAGTCATGAAGAATGAAGAAGAACAAGTGAAGGCTGACTACCTCTTCTTCAAATAAGAGCAGCAAATCAGTTTTTCTCATAAAATAGCTGAAGATCTTTCACATATAAGGGTTGAAGGTGTTATTCCTAATAGGCGAGCTGAAGGTCTACAAAGGAGCTAAGGAATATACCGCAAACTTTTATCATAGAAGACCAAATAGGTTTCCGGTAGCATACTAAATGATTGCCCTCAGCTGAGGAAAGACCGGACGACATTTTATTGGAGGACTAAAAATGATCATAAAAAGGTACCATTTATGGAAGGATAAACCCTTTCTAAAGAAGGAATGCGGTCTCCTTACAGAATACGAAAAATTATTTACATAGAAAACCAAAAAGTCTTCCGATAGAAGACCAAACGATCTTCTTAAAGTATACCAGAAGGTATTTTTTCGAAGACCACATGTCTTCTATTTTTATATATGTTATAAAGTCCTAGTATATATTTTTGCAAGAAATCAATAGGACTACGTTCCCAATGGTCTTACCATAGAGAATCAATCTAATTATAGCTTTTAATATTATAGAATACCAAAATATACTCTTATTGAGGACCAAAAGGTATTCATATAGAATAGGGTAGGTCTTCCTCAAAAATCCATCTTATAGAAGGCGAAGATGTCTTCCTATAAAGCACGAGTGGTGCCTTCTTATAGAACATTAAGTTTATTTCTAGCAGAGAAACCAATTTTTTTAGAAGTACCAGAAAGTTTTCTTATAGAATTTTAATCCGATTTCCTTCAGAAGGTCAGGTCAACAAGAGGCATTCTTGTAGAAATCAAAACTTCGTATTAAAGAATACCAACGGTCTACTACTAAAGACCCCTGAGGTTTTGTTTTAGAGGACCAATAGGTCTACGTATAATGGTTTAATAGGTCTTCTCCCAGAGGAACTTTTGGTCTTCGTTTCATATATCAGAGGTTATGTTTTCGATAAAAGGGCTAAAGGACCTCTCAAACTTAACTAAATTATTCTATTCAAATGATGGAAGAAATGGAATTATTCCTTACATTATATAATTTTATTTGTGTGCTGGTAGAATTCAATAAAAAATAATATTTTTAAATTATTTCCATTTTAAAATATAAATTTAAAAAATCAATTCATAAACACATTTGAACTTCATGCTCAATTACCCTCTTGAACTTCCTTCGCAAAATTCAAGCATATATATGTTTAAAGATTCCAAATCTTTTTTGCACAAAAAATTTTTAAAGATGTTTACCTAAACTATTATCTATCCAAAACGACGACAACAGGTTCAGAGATAAACACATACACACACACACATTCTGAACGGCATGCATGCAAATGGGGCTTGGATGTGTGCTCAGTATCTATGTCGTTGCCATTGTTTGTCTATTTTTTTTTTTTTTTTGCAAAAACATTGACTAAAAGTGTCAATGCCAATTAACAGTCATTATTTTCATTTGGAACAACAATTCAAACACTCTGACACACACAAACACTTCCCCAATTCAATATACATACATATCGTATGCAAAAAATATATCCGGTCTCCATTACTAAACTGAAACAGAAATTGCCTTTTTTGTGATGATTTGAAAATTGAATTTCCAAATAAAATTTCTTGAATATGACCTCTCACTGTGCACTTGTTTTACTTCTAATTAATTTGTCCTTGTAATGGCCAGAGAAGAAGAAGGGAGAGAGGGAAACAACGTCTTGTTGGAAATTTTTATATTGTCTATGGTCAATATGGATGAGGGTAGAAAGTTCGATGATAGTACGTTTTGGGAATAGGGTTGAAGTAAGTTTTGTGATTTTGTCCTTCGTCGTAGAATATTCTAGAATCGTCTATTGTAAAATTTAAACACAACTTATGTGAAATATTGATATTGACAATTGAATATATTGGTGTGTGTGTGTTCTTGATTGTCATGTGAAAATGAATAGTGACACATTTGAATTTTATCTTGAATGGGAAGAAAATTTTGGATGAGTTTTTAAACAATTTTTAATTGAAATTTTTTTGTGAATTGGCCATAAGTTTTATTGGTTATACATAGACCACAAGGTTCAATATTCAATCTCATAATCCTTTAAAAATAAAAATTTCAGTACGTTGTGTCAGTCGGCCTAGCTATGGGTCTTTAGTACACCATTTACTTAAAATCGGACGAAAGTATATAGGAGCTATATGTAAATCTGAACCAATTTCAAGACAACTTGACACACGAAAAGTTATAATAGGTTCAGTACATTGTACAAAATTGTGTGCCGATCGGCCAAACTCGGGTCGGCCAAATATATATAGGGTCTTCGGTGCACCATTTACATAAAATCGGACAAAACTATATATGGGAGCTATATCTAAATATGCACCGATTTCTTTAAATTTAACACACATCATTCTGGACCTCTTTCAGTGCCATATGTCAAACTTTGTGCAAATCGAAGGATATATAGGGACATTGGTGCCCCATTTACCTTAAATCGGACGAAAATATATATTTGGGAGCTATATCTAAATCTGAACCGATTTTCTCGAAACTTGACACACGACATTCTAGACTCAATTCAGTACTCTATGCAAAATTTCCCGCAAAGCGAAAGATATATAGGGACTTTCGCGCACCAATTACATTTAATCGGACAAAACAATATAATTTTCAGGAAACTTAACACTCATCATTCTAGACCTAATTCATTATGCTGTGCTAAATTTCGTGCAAATCGAAAGATATATAGGGACTTTGGTGCACCATTTACATCTAATCGGACAAAGCTATATATGAAAGCTATATCTAAATCTGAACCGATTTCCTCGAAATTCAACACACGTTATTCTGGACCTAATTCAGTACTCTGTAAAAAATTTCGTTCAAATCGAAAGATATATAGAGACTTTGGTGTCCCATTTACCTTAAATCGGGCGAAAATATATATGGGAGCTATATCTAAATCTGAACCGATTTTCTTCAATTTCAATAGGTTTCGTTCTTGCGACCTGTACTTTGTTTACAATTTAACATCTACAGACGGATGGACGGACGGATCGACTCAGAAAGTGATTCTATGCATATTCTCAAAAGGAACCATGTATGTATATCGTTTCCTTTTGCCTGTTACAAACATATGCACAAAGACATAACACCCTGTACCACAGTGTGGTGAAGGGTATAAAAATCCACTCTTTGTATATCTTTTGAAAAAAAAAATATTTTGTTAAAAATCCCCGGCTTTTATAGTCATTGAAAAAATATTTTTTTTTTAATCCACGCCTTGTATTGTCCTTGACAAATTCTTCTTTCAAAAGATTAGAAGGTCTTACAATGCAATAAGGAAAAACCCCGAAGTTATTTTTACAAACAGCCCTTAGCTATAATTCTATGTTGCGTTTTTTTGTTTACCAAACTCTAACAGGCAAATTAAATTTCAAGGTTTATTTTCTTCTTCTTGGCCTATGGAATTCATTCAATGTTACTTCGCCCAGTAGTAATAAAAAACAAGTTAACACAAACACTTACACTCGAACACACAAATCATATGCATGTTAAATGAATTCTTATTGCCAAACAATAGAATTGTTTGCAGTTCCGAACTTCTACTTCGTTTAACCAAACAATGCAGAAAAAAATGTTTAACTACTTTAAACAAAATCATGGTAATGTTGTTAATTAAACAATTAATGACACGCCACAACAACTACATGCATTGTGTTGTTGTTAAACGAATTACAGAAAAATAAATCGCAACAACAACAATAGGAAAAAAAATAATTAAAACCAAAAAAAGGTTAAAAACGCAACTCAAACGTTTAGTCAGTCATCCGCCAAAATTTTTATGTGTGTGGTTCGTACCAAGGTGGTGGTAATGTTTGGGTATTTATGCACCTATTTACCTCTCATCCTCATATCCACACCATGGTTGGAGGGCAATAATAACAAAAATATATATTAAAAATGCTATTTCCGATGTTTTGGAGGTCCACATGTCTTTTCAGACCTCTCTTCCACATCTTCATATTAAAGAACGATTTATTTATTTTTTAGTACTTCGACTATTTTTTTTAATAACATTTTCCTCTTCTTCTTCTTGCAGATTTTAACGGATTTGGTACAAGGCGAATTCATGCAGTTGGGTTCAAGGGAAACCGAAAATGAACGCTTTGCCCACTATTTGACAAAGACATACAGGAAAACGGCTTCACTGATAGCCAACACATTGAAGGCGGTAAGTAAAATTGGAAATCGCAATACAATCGACTATATTTGCAATGAAGCATTATAAATTTGAAATCTATAAAAAAAACATTTGAAAACTTGTAAAAACAACAATACAATTTTGTTTCATTCTACCTTAACCTGATAACAATGCACGCATGCAATTTAGTTTGTAATTATTAACCGATTCAACGAGGTCCGTTTGTACAATATTTTTTTTTTCATTACAGACGGCTGTCATTGCCGATGCCGATGACAACCTCAAGGAATTGGCATTCCAATATGGTCGCAATATTGGTTTGGCTTTCCAACTTGTCGACGATATGTTGGACTTTGTCTCATCGACCGAGACAATGGGTAAACCTGCCGCTGCCGATTTAAAATTGGGTCTTGCAACGGCTCCCGTTTTATTTGCCTGCGAAAAGGTAAGTCCAAATGAATAAATGAAACTGCAATATTTCTCTACACTTGAGTTACTGTTTATTTGAAATTGTTGTATTTTAATCGAAGTTAGTTATTCAGAAATTTATGCACGTCCCATTGGCCTATTGTATTTATGGCAAAGTAATTGCTTGATAATGACGGTTATGGATGATGGTTAAGAGGAGGGGGATTTTTTGTTGTTTAATTTATTATAACGATTTTCAATGTGATGTGATGTATTTGAGCAGACTTCCTTATTTGTCTAAGGCACGAGACTGATTACAAAGGAGAAAAAACACAAGCACAGAAGTCGTTAAGATCGGCCGTAGCGATCTTATAATACCCTTCACCTTAATAGCATTTTATATGGACGTTCCAAGCCCCCTATAGTTCTTCCAAGTCTCCTATATTCCCTAAAAAATATTTTTTAAAAATCCACGTCTCATATAGAACACGAAAAACCTATATATCCACGCCCAGTGTTGACCATTGAAAAATATATTTTTTTTAATCCAAAATATGAAAAACCAGTGAGCGGAGCAGTATAGTCGGACGGGACCGACCATATGATGCTCTACAGTACTTCCACGAAAATCTAACTTTGTGTGGTTCTATATTCTGATCTTGGGCAATATTTGCACTCTCTTGACCTTCACCGTGGGTTGTGTGGTTATGTTCGGATTTCAATTGTGGCCTATAGATCGACTCAAAAAACCCAAAAAATTAAGTTTTCAGTCCACTTTATCCCAATATTATTATCTGATTATCACCGAAAATTACAGACGTTGTCCTTGACCATACCTGGATCCTCATGGAAAATTTTAAAGCTATCAGCGCTATATTTTCGCCCTCTAGGGTGGTAATGGGTTACTAAATAATATTTGAATACGTAAGCACCTGTAAATATTTAAGTGTAACTCCCACATCCGAGTACATACGACAATGTAATTGGTATCAATTTGAAGGCCAACCACTCCTCTTGGATATATTTCAACTTCTTCGGTCTATGTCATTCAGGGGTAAATATATGCGCTATAGAAGACACGTTTTGTAATTTTCACACAAAAGTCAGGGACCATTTCACCGATCTTTATAAAAACAGGCATGCTTATTCTTTGGCCCAATCCCCTTCTCCATGTACAAATTCGAGATGTGTGGGCCATAATTGCGGCCTCTGCAGCGACCAGAAAATCAGACAAAAATACAGTTTTTGGTCCATTTCACCCCCTAAATATTAAACAATAGGGATCTTCATTGGCCAGAACCCGTCCTACATGCAAAATTTCATGAAGATTGGTCCATAACTGTGGCCTGTATCGTGTTTACAAATCATAATGGACAGACGGACGGACACACATGTCTAGATCGACTCAGATAGTCGAGATATGACGATCGGTATACTTAGGACTAGGGCCAATATTTCGGGGCGTTACAAACTCTTGGGGCTGCACAAAGCTATAATACACTGACAACATAGTTGTGTAGGGTATAACAAAGTAGAGGTCACTTTTATGATCCGAATTGGATGAAAATTTGCATAGGTCACTTATTTGGTGGTAATGGGTTACTAAATAATATTTGAATACGTAAGCACCTGTAAATATTTAAGTGTAACTCCCACATCCGAGTACATACGACAATGTAATTGGTATCAATTTGAAGGCCAACCACTCCTCTTGGATATATTTCAACTTCTTCGGTCTATGTCATTCAGGGGTAAATATATGCGCTATAGAAGACACGTTTTGTAATTTTCACACAAAAGTCAGGGACCATTTCACCGATCTTTATAAAAACAGGCATGCTTATTCTTTGGCCCAATCCCCTTCTCCATGTACAAATTCGAGATGTGTGGGCCATAATTGCGGCCTCTGCAGCGACCAGAAAATCAGACAAAAATACAGTTTTTGGTCCATTTCACCCCCTAAATATTAAACAATAGGGATCTTCATTGGCCAGAACCCGTCCTACATGCAAAATTTCATGAAGATTGGTCCATAACTGTGGCCTGTATCGTGTTTACAAATCATAATGGACAGACGGACGGACACACATGTCTAGATCGACTCAGATAGTCGAGATATGACGATCGGTATACTTAGGACTAGGGCCAATATTTCGGGGCGTTACAAACTCTTGGGGCTGCACAAAGCTATAATACACTGACAACATAGTTGTGTAGGGTATAACAAAGTAGATGTCACTTTTATGATCCGAATTGGATGAAAATTTGCATAGGTCACTTATTTGGCCCAAGGACGAATCGTATTGAAATTAGGAAAAATCGATTCAGTTTTAGATATAGCTCCCACATATATTTTCGTCCGATTTTATGTTAATGGTGTACCAAAGTTCGATTTGCACGAAATTTGGCATAGTGTACCGAATTGAGCCTAATGTGATGTCTGCCAAGTTTCGTGAAAATCGGTTCAGATTTAGATATAGCTCACATATATAATTTCGTCAGATTTTATGTAAATGGTGTACCAAAGTCCTTATATATATTTCGATTCGCACGAAATTTGGCAAAGCGTACTGAATTTAATTTGGAGTGATGTCTGCCAAGTTTCGTGAAAATCGGTCCAGATTTAGATATAGCTCCCATATATAGTTTCGTTTGATTTTATGTAAGTGGTGCACCAAAGTCCCTATATATCTTTCGATTTGCACGAAATTTATCATTGTGTACTGAATTGAGCTTAATGTGATGTCTGTCAAGTTTCATGAAAATCGGCCCTGATTTAGATATAGCTCCCATATATGCACCAAAGTCCCTATATATATTTCGATTTGCACGAAATTTGGCATGACCTACTGAATTGAGCCTAGAGTGATGTCTGCCAAGTTTCGTGAAAATCGGTTCATATTTGGATATAGCTTCCACATATATTTTCGTCCGATTTTATGCAGATTTAGATGTAACTCCCATGTATATTTGCGTCCGATTTAATGTAAAAGGTGCATCAAAGTCCCTACATATCTTTCGATTTGCACAAAATTTGGCATAGCGTACTGAATTGAGTCTGCAATGATGTATGCTGAGTTCTTGAAAATCGTTTCAGATCTATATATATATATATATATTTGTCGCCCGATTTACTGTAAATAATCCTCTTTTTGTGTCAGATTGACATGAAATTTTGCACAACATCCAAATTGAGCATAGAATAACGTAGTTCTAGAAGTACATAGATAGCCCAACGGATGTCCTAGTGATATTTGTTTGAGGTCGATTTAAGGGGACCCCCATTCTCGGGGTCAAACATGTTGTTGATATAATTCGAATCTACACTAATTAAAGAATGTCCCTACAAATTTTCAAATGAAAATCTCAAGAACTCTTGAATATATAGCCGATTTATTATGTCAGCATCAAGTGACGGCTGAAGGGCTTCTCAAACTTTAAACGCGTTTTTCTCTAATCATTTGCGAATGGCGGGCACGATAACTCAAAAACTAATAACTCAATCGATTTCAAATTTTTACACGTTTTTCTGTGAGTGTATAGCTATCGTATGAACTAGGATAAAGCCAATCGGTGAAGATCTTCCATATTTTTTAACTTGGGTTTTGGTAAAAAATCAGTGATTTTCAAAAAATATTTTTTCAAAGGTCCACCATTTTGTTAATTTTAGAGCGAAGTCAATAATCCTAGTTCATACAAGAGCCAGACATGTACTCTTTCTAACACCGTTGGAATTTTCGGATTCCGATGTTCCAGTGAGGAGTTATCATGCCCGCCATCAAAAATAAGGACTTTTCTTTAATTACAAAAAACAACAACAAACATTTTTTGTAAATTATTTTTTTCTATTTTAAATCTTCAATTATATATGTGTGAAGTTACAAACCTTATCAAGCATTTGTATTGATTTACCAGCCCATTGAAAATCTTGAAAAATTAAAATCGAGAATGGGTGGGGTTCCCTTTAAATACTTTTGTCCCTTTGTAACAAACGAACGACATGTTTATGGATCGATCTAAGTCGATTCACATTTAGATAAATACCACATATTTATGTTCATCCAATTTCATGTTAATAGTCCTGTTTAATATACCCATAGTGGTAGTAAAGTCAGACGGGACCAACTTTACCTATACCTGTACCCTATAGTCGGCACCGTCCCACTTTACTACTTTCCTTACTGGTTTACATTTAAGGAGATTGAGTCTTCGGCTTTATGTTTTCAAATTAGAGTTTTACTAATATTCCTTTCGTTTGAATTTATATTCAAAATATTACACAGAAAGTATTACAAAACCGAAAATCTGGCGTATAACTATTGACATAAAGTATACGCTCTCAGGGTCATTAATATTTGCATTTATAGAATATTTTGTTTTTCGTAAAATCAGTTAAATACATCTCTCTACAAAAAATCAGTTTAATAACTAGTTAAATCCATGACACTAGTTAAATCCAATAATTTGGCTAAATTATTTAAAAATCCGATTACTTGATACACAATGTCGATAAATTATTCACATAAAGTATACGCCATGGGTTCACATGTATCGACAATCAACCCTATCCTTTTTATTTTAATATTTAATAGTTAAATTTTATTATTTCATAATATAATATTTTTTTTGTTCCGTGTGTCTTCCACAATCCATTCAAGAGGCAAAAAAACAACAACAAGTGCCTTCAAAAAATTCGTTTGAGACAATTTTGGCATAATTTATGAAATTTGCAATGCAAGTCATATCCGCAAAAAAACTCGACAACAAACCTAAATAATATAACAACTCTATTTACTTGTAGTTTACTGTGATTATTATTGTCATAGTTGTGTTTTTTGTTGTGTTGACAGATTGAAGATAGCAACTAAAATAACAGCAAAAAATAGGCAAATACTGGCAAATCATTTTCAAAATTTATTCAGTGGGAATACACACACATTTCGGCACATATTTTGTCAATTACGTAGCATTTGTTTGCCATATTTTTGTTTTATTTTAAATTTTGTATTGGGGTTTTATGTTTTCTTCCATTTTCTA